GCAGCCGAGCTCCGGTCCCCGCCCTCAGCATCCCCGGGGCGCTGCGTGCCGGTGCTGCCCCGGACTGACTTCTTGTCCCCAGCGATGGCCGACGAGCTCCGTGACCTGCTGCGGGAGTTTGATGAAGTGATGGAGGACTTTGACAGGGGCCCCGCGCGTCAGTACGAGCAGCATCTGGAGGAGCTGAAGAGGAAAGCGGGGACCAGCGTGTACGACAGCGGCATCGATGAGCTGGAGAGTGAGTCAGGGCTGGGCAATGAGGAGTCCTGGAGGGGATGGTGTCCATCGGGACGGAGCAGCTTTGGGAGCTCTGGGCTTCCTCCATGGCAAACCCCTGAGCTTCCTGCTGGTCCTGCCTCCGAGTTGCTCACCTGACTCATCTCTCGTGGGCATGGGTTGATGACCCATGGGCTGCCAACATCTCCTGCAGGATAGCACAAGGGTTGAGATAACCTGGAGCTCAGAGGGAACTGCTTCACTGTAATAACCCTGAAGAGTCCCCATAGCAGTGCTCAGGCAACCTCTGGTGCTGTTGGACCTGGCAGAGCAGCTCAGTTCCCTTTTCCCAAGTATTCCTCATAGCAGAGGAAGAGCAGATGGGCCAAGAGTGAGGGTGGACCAGGGCCCTGTGCCATGCACATGATCAGTTCCTGCTCCTACAGCTTCATTACAAGGTGTCTGTGGCCATGGATGGTGACTGGTCCTTCATATCCGCAGGTACCAGCACATCCCCAGGAAGCAGCCTCAACTCCAGTGAGGAGGATCTCAACACCCCGGCCAGTGCTTACCCCTCCAAAGGTGAGGCTGCACGAGCTGTCCAAAGGGCTGTTTGCTGGGGCTTCCGTCTTGTGTTTGGCTCAGCTCCACAGCCATGGGCTGGCCCCAGGAGGGGTGCTGGTGGAGCCCTATAGGATTTGGAGGTGCTTTGGGTCTGGAAATGCTGTCTGCAGGCAGAGGTAGTCCTGGGGTTCTCCTGCCCATGCTGCCCTCAATAGCATCCACAGCTCTAATGTGTGTGTGAACACAGGAGCATCCTGCCCCAGGATGGGTGATGCTGGAGCTGCCCTGGGCTCTGGAGTCAGGCAGTGCTGGCCTTGGAAAGGTTCAGTGCTGCTCTTTTGATGCCTCCAGCAGCTTGTGTGCAAGTGTGGGCTGTAATCCCATGGGACGCATTGACCCATGGGGACACTGTGCTTGGGGTATGTGGCTGGGGTTGGTACTGAGCTGTGCAGCTCAGGTCCCTGCTGTGGGCGCAGCTCCCAGAACCCCATCCCACTGCTCCCAGGCAGCTCTTGGCTGGCACAGGCACAGCAGGCAGCCGCAGCAGTTGTGGTTGGAAGCAAGGGGTAGGGATCTTTCCTCTCCCATGTTGGGGAATGGGAGAGACCTGACTCTCTTTCTCTCCATCAGCGAAGCTTGGCGACACGCAGGAGCTGGAGGAGTTCATTGCGGACCTGGATAAAGTGCTGGAAGGTACGAACACAGCTCTGATCCCAGTGTTCCCTGAGCCAGTGGGGCAGGACGCTGGGATGGGGCTTCTCCACTGCCTCCAGCTTGGCAGAGCCTGGTCCAGCACCACTGCCCCAGGGCTCCCATTGCAGGGTTAGAGCCTGGGTCTGGCTGCAGATGGGATCCTTCTGTCCTTTCTTTTGGTGGGGGCTCACCTGGGTGTCCCCCCATCCCTCTCCAAGCACTTTCAGCTGGGGCAGGAATTCCACTGCAGAAGGGTGTCAAACAGCACAACCTGCAGAGCTGTTGGCACCTTCGGAACATGTGCAGACGTTGTGGCTCTGCCCTGGCTGCAGCGCCTCCGTGACTGCTGCTGTGGGGGGAAGGTGAGCGGGTGGAAAGGAGTGTTTTTCCTTTGTGACATACCCCAGAGTGGAAAAAGGCAGCTCTGTGGAAATATCCTGTCTGGAGGGAGGAAAGGGAAGATTTGGACTTGATAAGTACCACTCGACAATGGGCCTGTGGAAGTGAAACTTGTGCATGTTCGGAGCGGGAACTGCTCCCGAGGGTGTCTGTGGTGGCAGACGGGGAATCCAAGCCCACGGCCAGGCCCTGGTCTCCTCCTGGGGCAGGTGGTGATGCTGCGCTGGCATCTCCAGCAGCTCTACCCAGGCAGCTCTGCCCTGCCATGGAGGGGCTGGTCCCCAGTGGCTTCCTCAATGGGAAAACTGAGGCAGAGGCTGCACTTCCTCCCCAGAGGGGTCCTGGGTGACAGCCCGAGCAAAGAACTGGATTTAAACCAAGTGAAGCATTTCCCTCTAGACAAGCCCCACAAGTTCCAGTTCCCAGAATCTGTTCCCTTCCCCAGTGCCCAAGATAAGGTGGTGGCTGGAAGAGTCACTGGTGCTGAGCCCTCCAGGGAGGCAGCAAAACAGGAGGGGGACAGGAGCCCCCCAGCAGGTTTCTGCTCTAATCCTGCTGCTGGTGCTGCCTGGGGGTGCAGAGCACCCATAGCCCTCCTGCCCCCAAAGGCATCTCACCGATGTTCTTTCTCCTCCTTGACTGTCCTGCAGAGATGTGAGAGGTGGTTTCGGTGACAACTTTGGAGACAAGGACCTGCAGCAGATGAGCCCCGTGTCTTCCTGATGCACCCTCTGCTTCTGCGTCCCCCAGTCCCCCGCCTGCAGGGTGACACCCTGTGCCAGCCACCATGGACCGCCCCAGCCATGGGGACCCTGCTCCACTTCCGCAGGACTCTGCCAGCACCGAGACGAGAAGAGCTCTTAGTGGAGGATCATAGAGGATCCCAGACTGTGTGCTGGGAGGGACCTTAAAGCTCCTCCAGCTCCAACCCCTGCCACAGGCAGGGACACCTTCCACTAGAGCAGGTTGCTCCAAGCCCCTGTGTCCAACCTGGCCTTGAACACTGCCAGGGATGGGGCAGCCACAGCTTCTCTGGGCACCCTGTGCCAGCGCCTCAGCACCCTCCCAGGGAAGAGCTTCTGCCTCAGAGCTCATCTCAATCTCCCCTCTGGCAGGTTCAAGCCATTCCCCTTGTCCTGTCCCTCCATCCCTTGTCCAAAGCCCCTCTCCAGGTCTCCTGGAGCCCCTTTAGGCACTGGAGCTGCTCTAAGGTGTCCCCTTGAGGAGCCTTCTCTTCTCCAGCTGCCCCAGCCCAGCTCTCTCAGCCTGGCTCCAGAGCAGAGCTGCTCCTGCCCTCGTAGCAGCTCTGGGGCCGCCTCTGGGCTCGCTCCAGCAGCTCCACGTCCATCTCGTGCTGCTCCCCAGAGCTGGATGCAGCACTGCAGGCTTTGCCCAGCTCCTGTGACTGGGGGGATGGTCAGTGGGGTCTGCGCCGCTGTTGAAGCCAGAGGAGAACCCTAGGTGGTTTTGGGGAAGATGAGCTCGCAGCGCATCAGCAACACCTTGGTGTCCCCTCCTGGGTCAGAGAAGCCTGTTCCCGTGGCAGATGTGTCACAGGCAGAGACAGCCACTGCTTGGCCCTTTGCTTTGCACGAGTAGCCTCAAGCCCAGCCCCAGCCTGCGCCCCGGCTGCTGCTGTAAATAGTGTAAAAAGGCTGTGGCTGCACGGGGGGCGTGTTTGATGAAGGGATTGGAAGTCTCCACTTGTCTCTGTGTGTGTCCAGTCTTTTACCCTGGGCAAACCTGAGCCCATGAGCTTGGGCTTGCCCAGAGCAGCCCCGGGAGCTGGCAGGGAGCCCAGCTGCTCCAATGGGGATGGATCCAGCCAGCCTGGACCCTGATGGGGAGGAGGAGGGGAGGGCTGGAGACTTGTACCAGAAGCTCAACAGGAGCTGTAAGGTGGGCAAATGGCCTTGGCAGCTACTCGGACATCCCATCGCACAGCTCTGCCTCTTGGACAGTGTGGAGGTGCGAGAGGAGGCCAGAGGCCATCCCTTTTACCTCCATGTGCTAGGAGAGATGAGCCACTGCCCGCACCTCTTGCTCTAGTGGCCCTGGGTACCTGTTCTTGTGGTGCTGTGGGACCTGCTCTATTCTTGTTGATGCTCAAAAGCCACCTACTTTACCTTAAAGATGCATTATAGGGAGTATTTCTTGGTTCACCTACAGAAACAAGAGGCAAACAGGACTCCCTGATGCAGGGGCGGGTTGTGGGTTTGTTCCCAGCATGCTAGGAAAGGCCGGGGTAGGTGATGCTGCTCCAAGGGTCCCGATTCCTGATGGATGAGCCCTGGTGATGCTTCCTCTGGGGCAGCAGCCGCAGGAGCAGGTCCTCAGGGGATGGGGGTTTGCAGCCCCCCTGCCCAGCTGGGTCCTGGGTGTCCCCACGGGCGGGTAGCTCTGGGGCAGTGCTGAGGATGCCCAGGCAGGAGATGGAGCTGGGGCAGCTGAGCTCAGAGGTGTGTGTGTGTGTGGTTCTGAGGGATGCTCCATCCATCCCTGGGTTCTCCTCTCCAAAAGCTGCATCATGAACACGGAGATGACTGGGAGGAGCTCAGGGCTCTGCTCATCCCTTCCCTGTGATGTCTGTGTGGAGCAGGGCCACGTGCTGCTCTGTTGCAACCGTCTGAGCAGGAAATGAGACGGTTTTAGTGTCTTCCCTTACCCCTTGGCTCCTGGGGTGCTGATCAGGAGGATATTGGTCACCTCATCTGCCAGCCTGGGGCTTAGCGCTGCAGCAGGGATCTGCTGAGCATGCACTGATCCTGCACACTCAGGAGGCAGGAGCAAGGGCAGGAGCCTGATGTAGGGCAGGTCACATGTGGGGACACTTTCCACTGTCTCTCTCCCCACACAGTCAGCCTCTGATCTGCCTCCCAAATGGACCCCCAGGTCCTATTGAGCAGCCAGAAGGTGGGGGTGAGAGGTGGGTGGTGGGACCAGGGGTGGTGGGGATGCTCCGAGATCTGCCCGTGATGCTTGGATGTGCTACGGGGACTGGCGCACCCCACCACAGGGAGGCTCAGCCCACACCACTGGGGTGAGGGCAGCAGGAGCCGCGGGGGCAGTCCCTGCCGCGCACACGGGTGGGGGGAGCGTCACTGGGACGTGTTTCCCCTCTGAGTCACTGGCGCAGGCGTTTCGCCCTCACGCTCTGCTCTGACGCGTGTTTGTTCCCCCCATGGTCCCGTTCTGCCTCAGGGCATCACAAGGGCCTCACCAGCGTTCAGTGCTGGGGCTGGGGGACCACACGTTGTCTCCTTCCATCCCCCCAGCGTGGAAACGCGGCTGAGAGCTGCAGCGTAAACACAGCCAAGCCCCAGATCCGCTGCGGCTGATACACCCCTGCCGCAGAACAGCACCCGCTGCCGCCCAGCGGGGTGGGGTGTTGTGGG